ATTTTCCTAACCTCAGGCATTTGGCAACCCAGGCAGCCCTGCAAGAGTGGGCAGGAGAGGTGGGAGACAAGGCAGGAAAAACCCCAAGGTGGAACCACAATGTTTACAGAACGGGTCACTGAATTATACAGAAAATATTTTCCTTGCGGATGCAATTCCATCCTGGACAGCTGCACTCGGACGCCTGCGCGGCCCGAGGCTCTGTGGTGAGGGCTTTAACGCGGAGGATGGAATGCCGCTGACTTGAAACGCACTGGAAGCCACAGGGCCCGTGCACAGCGGTTCAGAAATACCGAGGCTGAGCGCGCCTAGCTGCTGCCTGTGTTTCTTGTTAACGCTGCCGGCCCGGCACTTCCTCCCGCTGCCCGCCGGCAGGACGCTGGACCCGCCACCTGGACTCCTTGCCCACACCCGGAGGCAGACACCGCGAAGCTGGCAGCACCCTAGGGGAGGTGCCCAAGTTTGTAGGCGTGGCCTCGTGGTCTGAGACCGCGGGGAAGAAGGTGGTCTTTCTGGCTCCAGCAGCTTCCAAATTGGCGTTCGGAGAGATTACAAGGGATTTGTAGTCCCCAGAGGCCACAGCCCAGCCCAGCCCAGCCCGCCCGCACCTCCCCACCTCTGAAGCAGGGTCCCAGAGTCTCCATCTGACAAGATGCACCTAAGGGACCAATAGAGGAGAGACCCAGCGAGATGCCACATGGAAGGCGGAAGGGTGGGGACAAGGGACCCATGTCGAGCCCGTAGCTTCCGTCTCTTCCAGCAGGGAAGGGTGTGCCAGAGAGCCTCCCACCCCACCCCACCCCACCCCACCCCCCGCCGCTGGGGCCCCTGCATCCTTTAATATTAGGCTCAGAGAACGTACTGGATGGAGAGGCTTGGGGATGGAGGGTGAGGAGAAAGGGAAGGATCGAAGGAAGGAGGGGGAGGGTCAGTCTCCAGGTCACTTCCCCCCCCTGCTCCTCAGCATTGGCTGGCAGGGTGACAGGGGGCTCCCTTGATTTTTTTAATAATAAGACTTTAGATACAGAAATGAGGAAAACGAAGATGAATATAGCAAATGTTAAAAAGCACTTCTCTCTGGATGGTGGAATTTGTGCTTATCCATGATCCCAGAAAGTTCTACATTTGTAAAAAACAAAACATTGCCCTTCTCTGATCTGTGCAAAACTCGGGAGCCAGCGCCTCAAAGCAGATGGTGTGCAATTCTATTTATCACCACCAGGTGACAGCCAAGATAAGCGCATCCTCCCCCTGCATCATCAGCCCCCCAGAGACTTCCATCTATTTCTATAGTGAAGACAGAGGCCACATACACAATGTGTCTGCTGTGAAGGTGACCACAGAGTGCCTACCCTCTGGCCACCCTGCATAGGGTAAGTAAGCACTGCCATCTTCTTTTGGTGATTGGGGAAACTGAGACCTGGAGTGGAAAAGAGGATTGTCCCTTGTCATATGGCAGAAGTGGGGCTAGAAGCCTCATCTCCTGACTGTTTCATTCCACAAATATCTAGGGGCATCTGGCTTTGTTAGCAGTACCTAGGATGGCTGTGCAAAGGTGGACAGGGCAAAGGCTCTGCAGCCACCAGGAAGGAGCTACCAGGTAGGAGGTGGGGTTGAACCACTTCCTGAGGCTGCCCATGGCTCCTTCGAGAATTCGAGGCAGAGTTGAGTGCCCACCAGGTTCCTGGCACCAGTCAGCAGAAGCCTGTCCTCAGTGGGGATTGGAGGGGCAAGAGAGTCTCATAGGGCTGCCATGAATCTTACTCAGAGGCCCAGCACCCACAACCCAAGTGGGCTCTGCTCCCACTGTGCCACTCCTGGCTGTGCCAAGCCCAGACCAGGGCATCCATGCCCCTGGGGCACCATATGCCCCGGAGTCCACAATAGCAAGGGTCTTAGACTGGCCTCTCCCACAGCAGCCAGCCTGACAGCAGGAGGAACAGCAGGACGAGGGCTGCAGCCAGGCTCACAGAGGGCACCAGGTCCGAGTCCTCAGGGGCAGCATGACCAGGGGCATCGTGGGGAACTTCAGGGGTACCAGACAGCTGAGTGCCAGAGACCTTGTCCCCTGGGGGCCCTGGCCGACCCATCTGTGAGAGGAGGTGAGGGTGGGGTTTCCTCTGGGAATGGCCCCATGTGCCGACTGACTGCCAGTCCCCTGCCCTCCTCCCTCAAGAAACTCTCCTCAACACTTGCTGCTGGGGCACAGGCCAGAGCAGGGCATCAAGAGGTACCAGAGGTGACCCTGGGTAGTGACCCCTGAATCTCTGTTTTCTCCTCTAAAATGGGGATGCTGAGCCCGCAAGACGATGATAAGGGTTGGTTGAGATAGCTCCTAGTCTAGCAGGCCTGAGGACACCCCCACTCCCTACCTCCTTACCCTCCCACTGAGATAACCAGGTCTGGAATGTAGGGTTCAGCCAATAGTCTGCTTCTTCGGGGACCTTTGCCCATGTATCAGGGGTCCTGGAATGTGGCTGGACCAGTTTTCCAGACACTAAAGTCATCAGTCACCAGACGTGTCTAGAGGGATCCAAGTCAATTGTAGAAGAGGCTCCTTCTACCTGCACAGAGGTCTCTGAGGCCAGCACAGGTTATGTCTGTCTTACAGATGAGAACAGTAAGGCTCCGTGGAGGTGTGGCCTTCAGAAGCTGGCTCCCGGGGAACTCCAGAGTGAGCAGAGGTGGTCACGGGCTACCTGGGCCCCAGGAACACAACAGGTGGCCTCCAGGCACTGGACTGCAGGGGCAAAGTTTGGGCAGGTCAGTGATGGGCCAATAGCAACTTGTTGGGAATCACAGACCTGGACCAGCCAGAGATGGAGAGTATCCAGGACCCTTGGTGGTCTCTGCCCAGCCCCCCAGGACCCTGCCCCAGCCCCTCCCTCTTACTCAGCTGGCTATGTGGTCCTTTCCCTCCCCAGTCTCCACTTGCCTTCCAGCCATGAATTTCCTGGGTCCTGGGAGTGTCCATCCTAGAACTGCACCAAGCTGCCACACTCTCCAGGGACAGGCACTGGCTAGGCAAACAACTCCACTCCAGGCCTTTCCTCCAAAAACCTGTATACCTAGAACCTCCCTCTGGGAGGGCCTGGAGCTGGGGTGACAGGGAAGTCAGAGGCCTGCTGGAGCTGCTCCTCCACCCTCCCTGGGGTGCATCCAGAGCAGTGAGGGAAACCGGCTCTCCAAAGACCCCCCCAAACATCCAGGAACCTACTCTGGACTAGTGGCTCCTTCCACAGCCCCTACGTGCTTCTCACAGGGGGTGGGCAGAGGGGAGAGCGATAGTGGAAGAGGAGAGGGCTGGGATTACCTTTGACCCTCTATGTGCCCTGTACCAGGTGCAGGGTGGGTAGAGGTGAGGGCGTCCCCCACAAGCCCTCGGAGGTACGGTTAATGAGAGCTATAACACCATAAGTGTGACTCATTGTTTGCCTGTGTTCTTGATGGCAACAACAAAAAAGCTCATGGAGACTGGGTGCACAATTGTGTGTGCACCCCAACGTCAACTATTCAAAACGGATACATGGGGTAATCGACTAGAACAGACACTAGAATGCCAACAGGGTCAGGCTATGGGGGGGAGGTAAGTTTCCCCTTGTTTTTCATTTTCTCATTTACTTTTGTTGGCAAGTGCTGTTAAGTTGATTCAGACTCATGGTGACCCCATGTCACAGAGCAGAACCACCTATAGGATTTTCTAACCTATTATCTTTATAGGAGCATATCCCCAGGTCTTTTATCCATTGAAGCCAATGGGTTCGAAACACCAAACTTTTGGTTATCAGCTGAGGGCTAACCATTGCACCACTATAGTTGCATTACAATTATAGTAACTTTTGAAAAACTACTACTATTCCAGTAGCTAAAATTTGGAAAATGCCCAAATGTTCAACAACAGGATCCAGTTCAACGTGTAAGTGGCACATTCTCCCAGAGGGAAATGGTGTGATCTATCCCTCTCTGAATAAGCCCAGAGAGACTAGACCTATTGATTCTGTTCCAGAGAATTTCCCGTTTCTGCTTTTCTTATTCATTTTACTCTATATATTACCTGGATGGTTTGCAACAGCCCAAGTTACTTCCACAATCAGAAAAAACAGAAAGAGAAAAGTAAAGGCTTCGCCCTGGGTGTGTCCATGATGCCTGCTGCCTACCCCTCCTCCCTCTGCCTTCATCCCACAAGCCTCCCACAGGGAGATCAGTGGGAGGCCGAGACCTGGGGACATGAGTGATGGGGAGGGGCTCGCGTGTAAGGCGGGCGTGCAGCCTTCATTGGGAATAACACAAGTTTTCGCCCCTCTTCCTGCGTGCTGGGTGACTCTGGCGAGTCAGTCTGCCTCTCTGAGCTTGTTTCTTCCTTGCCAGATAGGGGCGGGGAGCTCTGGTGGCCTAGTGCCTAAGGCATTTGATTGCTAACCAGGAGGCTGACTGTTCAAGCCCACCAGCCACTAAGGGAAACTGGGTAATCTACTTCCGTGGTGATATGCCTTGGAAACCCAAGGAGGACTCTCCAAGGCAGTGAGGTTTTTATTATTATTATTATTAAGATCGGGATGGCACCGCGTACGTGCATAAGGATCGGAACAGTTCTGGCCGGTATTAGCTTAGCACCAGAGCTCAGTGTGCTGCCAAGGCTCCCGGTGCGGCCCTGGACCGGACCCCGGTGTTCACGGATGTACCGGCAGGGGCTCTGCCCCAGGGCTCCCTGTCGGGTGCTGGGTTTTCGCATCTGCAGAGCTGACTTGGCGGACGCTGGGGCGCCCAGAGCGCGGGGGAGCCCTCACCCAGCCGGGGCCGTGGGCGGGGCCCGCATCAGAGCAACGCCAAGCGAGGGGTCTTTCGATTGGCGAGCTCCAGCTGAGCGGACCGCCCCTCAGCCAATCGCAGCAGTGGGGCGTGGCCTGCCCTCCGGTCCTGCGCCGAGCTGGGCGAGCCGGATGCCGGGCGGGGCACTGCGGCCGGAGTGCATCCTCCCCGCCGCGGCCAAGACCAAGGCTCGCTGACCGTAGAGGCAGCCATGCAGGAGCCCCTGCTGGGAGCCGAGGGCCCAGGCTACGATACCTTCCCTGAGAATCCACCCCCGTTGCCAGGAGACAGGGCGCGAGACCGGTGAGTGTCGCAGGGCATGGACTGCGGGTGGGGGTGGGGGGCTGGCTCCGTCCTGCTCTGGGCATCCTTGACCTTCAGAGGGTAGCTACCCAGGAGCCATCTGGTCTCCTCCTTCCCCAGGCGCTTTGGTCATCTAAGGAGCCAATCCCCACGGGCACAAACAGGGAGGACCCGGCCCAGAGAGGGCGAGGGCTGATCTAAGGTCACACAGCAATCCTTCAGTGGCAGCCCAGATCCGCAGCCTCCTCTTGACAGGAGAAGGGGCCCCAGCTGAGGGACAGCTGGTCTGCGGAGACTGCCTTCACACCCTGGGATTCCCCAGGGGAGCTGGTGTTCAGGCCCTCAACCCAGCCCTTGCAACTCTGCCCACTGAGCCACTGGGCCCAGGGCAGACAGCCAGTGTGTGGAGGAGGGACTCAGACCCTGGTCCTGACCCCTCCCAGAGCCCTGCAGAACAAGAGGGTGTTCCTAGCCACCTTTGCTGCCGTGCTGGGCAATTTCAGCTTCGGGTATGCCCTGGTCTACACGTCCCCTGTCATCCCGGCCCTGGAGCACGCCTCAGATTCAGACCTGCGCCTGACCAAAGACCAGGCCTCCTGGTTCGGGGTAAGGGCTGTGCTCTGAGCTGGGGCGGGTAGGGGGTGGGGGCCATTGAGCTCTGTCCCCAGCTAGGAACTCCCCCAAAGCTTATTCTTGGGACCACCTTAGGGCCTCTCCTGCCCCTTCCTCACCTACTCCAGGTTGTTTGGGGGGCAGGTGAGGCCCTGAAACGGAAGGGGAAGTGAGAGCTGGTGGAGAAGGCGTGGGAAGGAGCAGTGGGCAATGTCCTCAGATCTCAGGATTCCCCAGACCACACCCACAGCTGGTGCCATGGCAATGGACCCTCCTCAGGGCAGGGCATCAGGTATCAGAGAATGAGGCACTGGCTGGGGCTAAGAAAGTCCCCAGGGCCCAGTCCCACATGTGCCAGGACCGAGTGTGAACAAATGAAAAGGGAGGGCCAAAGCTGAGAGTCCCAAGAGTCTAGAATTATCTTCTTCTTCTTGTTGTTATGTGCTGTCGAATCAGACCCGACTCATAGCGACCCCTCTTTGGGTTTCCGAGGCAGTATCACTACGGAAGTAGATTGCCCAACCTTCCTTCCGAGGAGTGGCTGGTGAGTTTGAACTGCCAGCCTTCTGGTTAGCAGTCAAATGCCTTAGGCACTATGCTACCAGAACTCCCAGAATTATCTTAGTGGCCTTGAATTGTAGAATTATAACATATTGGCTGAAATAAGTACTTGGCTGCTAACCAAAAAGTTAGGGATTTGAGTCCACCCAGAGGCACCTTGGAAGAAAGGCCTGGCAATCTACTTCCAAAACCTCAGCCACTGAAAACCCTGTGGAGCGCAGTTCTGCTCTGACACACTTGGGGGCACCTGAGTCAAGATGGACTCTACAGCAGCTGGTACTATTACTCCTTCAGTGTGTGCCAGACCCTGAACCTGAGCTCCTTGACTTGTGGGGAACCCTATGAGATAGGCATCGTCATTCTCACATATACAGCTGAGAAAACTGAGGTTCAGACAGGTTCACAGCATGCCCAAGGCACACTGCTAGTGAGTAGCAGAGTCCAGATGATCCTGGTCACTGTACCCCATGAGAACCTCATGAACTCCCAAATATCCAATCCTGGGGGCATCTCATCCCAGAATTCTCCTGATTTAATATATTAGATGTTAAACATCAGATAGACAGAACCACCATGGTCATGAGGCCACCTCCTCCAGAGGGGATTCCCTCTGTGGCATCCCTAACAAATTGCTATCTACATGCTGCTTGTATACCTCTGGAGACAGGAGGATCACTACCATCCTGGCAGCTTGAGGAAGATGCTGTCTCTAGGTTCTGATGGCAGGTGTCCAGACTTGTCTGCCCTGCACCCCTTTCTCTGCAGTCTGTGTTCACCTTGGGTGCAGCGGCTGGGGGCCTCAGTGCCATGGTCCTCAACGACCTCCTGGGAAGGAAGCTTAGCATCATGTTCTCCACCGTACCTTCAGCAGCCGGCTATGCACTCATGGCAGGCGCCCATGGCTTCTGGATGCTGCTGCTGGGGAGGACGCTGACAGGCTTCGCTGGGGGGCTCACAGCTGCCTGCATCCCGGTAAAGCCCTCACTGCCTCCCACTAAGAGTTCATGGCCTCCATGCCCACTGGTCAAGGAACAGGAACATTTAACTTCCCTGCATGGCCCAGGGGGCCTCAGCCCATCTCCACCAGGGCAGCTTCTATGGGGAAATCCTCCCCATGTCCCCAGGTGCCTGCACTCTGGAATCCCCAAACTTACAACTCAAACCCCATTTCTGACCAGAGGCAACTGTATTATTCAACTGGGGAAAATCCTCATTGAGCAACGGGGAGGAAAGGGAAGTCCTTGAGCCATGCGTGCCCTCCCTGGACACTCTTATCTCATCCATTGCTCTACACACCATCAGCTGATCTGGGGAAAGCAGCAAGGGGGACCAAGATGGCAGGAGGAACAGAGACCCGCCTGCTTACCTACAGAGGCGGGTGCCCAGCATCTGCCCACTTGACAGTTAATGAAACTGAGGCCCAAGGGAGGTCGGGTAGTGAGTCATGAGTGGGACAAAAACCCCGGCCTGGGCTATGCTCACCAAAAACCCATCTCCACCAGGGCCACCTTACCCACTTGGCCAGTACTTCTCACCAAAGGCTGTGTTTTGCAGGTCTATGTGTCTGAGATTTCTACCCCCAGAGTTCGTGGGGCTCTGGGGGCCACACCCCAGCTTATGGCAGTGTTTGGATCCCTGTCGCTGTATGCCCTTGGCAAGTATCTGACCTTTAAACCAGTGCTGTAACTCCAGGGTACAGGCGTGGGACAGAGGGAGAGCACACCCCAGAAAGAGCCCTTAGCCGTCAGCTTAGTCCCACTATGTTTGGCCTCTATGCATGGCCTGCCCCTCTCTGGTTGCAAGTCCTCCACCTGTCTAAGCAGTGAGGGCTTCTCTGGGCTTGCGGTCTTCAAACCATCTTTCAACAGCAGAATGCTTCTGTCAAATGCAGTCGACTGTGGAAAGCCCCTGTTGAAAAGAACTCAGGGGTCAGCTGTTAAAAAGGAAGTGGGGTGAAGGTGGAGGCCTGGGGTCTTGTCTGCTTAGCCTGCTCCTCCCTCATGCTGCCATGGCCCTTTGAGACCCTCCCACGGAACTGCTCCTTTGTTCTAGATCCTGTGTCAGAAGCTGGACGATCCCTGCAGTTTCTCTGAACCCAGAGCACCCAGGCCTGAGGCAATCACCTCCTTCCTGTAGGAGGTGGCCCTTGGACTAGACCTTGCTCAGAGGCCTTAGTGGGAGGGGGCTTTGTATCCAGCCTGAACCCTAGCCCCTAACCCAGCCCTGCCCCTAGGACTGTGGCTGCCCTGGCGCTGGCTGGCTGTGGCCGGCGAGGGACCTATATTCATCATGATCCTGCTGCTCAGCTTCATGCCCAACTCGCCACGCTTCCTGCTTTCACGGGGCAGGGGTGAGGAGGCGATGCAGGCACTGGCCTGGCTTCGAGGGGCCCATGCCGACGTCCGCTGGGAGTTTGAGCAGATCCAGGACAGCGTCCAGAGACAGGTGTGTGTGTGGGGGGTGAGGCTGAGCTGGCTAGCCGCCTCCAGTGCCCCAGCTCTCTGCAGCCTTCGCCTTTCTGAGCTTTGGCTTCCTTCCTTGGTATACGGGGATAATGGCAGGTAAGGAGCTCTGGTGGCGCAATGAATGAGGCATTTGGCTGCTAACCGCAAAGTAAGGCAGTTCTTTCTTTCTTACCCAGCAGCCACACTACAGAAGGAAGATGAGGCAATCTACTTAGATGAGGCAATCACCTCCCGTAAAGATTTATACTACTCGGAAACCCAGTGGGGGTCACTATGAATCCAAATCGATCCAATAGCAGTGGGAAGGGGACAGTCCCAGCTACCAGGGACTGGGGTGAGGGTTGGGTGAGGGGATGGATGGCAGGCTTGGCCCAGAGCTCACCACAATGTAGCGGACACCTGAGAGCCTAGACATACTGCTTAGTAGAAGGCTGCCTCCACTGACCCCTTCTCCCAGGGCCTGGGGATGGGTTGGGGCCTCAGTGGGATGGTTCCTTTCCTTAAGGAGGGCAAGAAGGGGTTCTCCCTACCAGCCCCATGAAGCCCAGGCCAGGGTTGAAGCCTTCTGCGGGGACCACATAGCCCCCTCAGCGGCGTCCTCGTGTCTCTAGAGCAGCCGCATGTCTTGGGCCGAGGCCTGGGACCCCCACATATACCGGCCCATCGCCATCGCCTTGCTGATGCGCTTCCTGCAGCAGCTGGCGGGTATCACACCCATCCTGGTCTACCTGCAATCTATCTTCACCAGCACTGCTGTCCTGCTGGTGAGCCCCCCCTGCCCCGTGCCCCCT